TTGTTAGTGAATGTTGAGTATTTATTTAATCGCTCCAAAACAAAATGCAAAAGACGTTGAAATAAAAAAATAGATGTAACAAACCTTGCATGAGTATTCAAGTATCTATTATCCTTAGACTAGTTTTTGCATGTCATTTAATTTTATTGCTTCGAAAGAATTGATGTATTCCTCGTCCAATACTTAAATGTTATCAGCATTATTTAATTGTAATTAATAAAGGTTGTATGTAGTCAGTGTGGGCAGTTCGGTGGCCTTCATTTGCTTGTTTTTTATTGCATATGAAATCGTTCTTTGCATAGGAGGCGATCAGTAGATTTTTAGTGTAGGTGATTTTATTAGTTTGAGCCCTTGACATACCGAAGTGACATAAATGACACGTCAGCTGTTATATAAACATTGTAGGAGGCTTTTGCTTTATTTATTAACTAATGCAATGAAAGCCCACTTAACACTAGTAGTGATTGATTATGTAAATTGATGAAATTTTGAAATTGAAATAGGCATCATTGGTTGCAACATCTGCTGTTTACACACTGAAGTGATTTCGATTGTCTTTGAAATTTTATTACAATCAATGCAGAAAAATGATATAGGATTACAATATAATAAAGAATAATTGAAACTTCAATTGTTAGCCATGGATACGTGAGTTCCGTGTGGTTTCTTTAAGAAATAGATGATTGCTTTCTTGCCTTCCCGCCGAGTTATATCAATATTGTATGAATAAATATTATATGAATATATGCATATTTATCTAAATTATATAACCGACACGACTTCGTCTCGGATTGCATTTTTATCAAAATCTGTATGCATATTTTGCGAAGTAGATATTGTCAAACCAAATTGTTATCTCAAGTTTCAAATTTACCATGTTGACTGATGAACAAAAAATGCAAAAGGATGGTAATTTAAATAAATTACTCTATTAATACACGACTTTGGCAATTTATACGTTAACCATAAGCAATATAGCATTGAATTGGATGTATCAATTACTGTTTCATTAGAAAGGATTTTCTTCAGTATATTTATTTTTATTGTACTACCATCGTTCGATTATTATTTATAATTATAGGAAAAACTAAGTTAACTGTCTCAATGCTTTTAATTTTTTCTAATCTGTTCAAGTAAGTGCCTTTATCGCGCTAAATAGCATAATTCTTGAATGCAAAAGTAACAATTAAGAACAAAATCTTGACCATGTATCCGTGAATGACGGTCGGTTACGCACTACCTGCCAAGTGATTAAGGTTAAGGTACAGGTGTAACATATGCGCATTGCTCATCAACCTGGAATATATTGAATAATACTCATATGCATATATCTTTATTTACTTTGAGATTTATTAACACTTCAACAGTATTTTTTTATATATACTGAAAATTTCATAATTATCTTCGAAGAAGATAATTGTCTCTAGTAGCTGCCTGTTTGTCTACGAACTTCTGAAATTTTTAACGTTAGTAGATGACTCGTGATTTTTCAATGAGGTTTACTTTCTATGACTGATTTTGTGAATGAAATGAGAAAACGCCTAGATATTTTGAACAACAATTTTATACGTTAGAAAATTCCTTTTTGATTGGAATGTGCTTTAAACCATAGAGTTCTCTCTCATGAACTTTTTTGCATTACACCCTGTAAAAGCACAAAGCTTAATGTATAAAAATATAAAATTAATATTTACATATTTTTAATTTATTACATTCTGATAAATTTAAACATTTTAATATCCAAATTTGATATAAGAATGTTATTTAAACATCCTTATGGAGTTACTTTATAATATCATGTATTATTATATTTAATTGCACATCATTTTTCACAGTCCATTTCTTTAACAAACTCTGTTGTCTTTGGTATCGACGATATTATTTTCACTATTTTTTTTTAATTATTTCTCTATGCACTTGTTAGTCCACATTTCTATATATAAATAGAGCATCATTGTTTGCATTGCATTTAGTGCTCAGACTCTGTAAACCGTAAAACATCGTCCTGTATCTAAATATATTTATTGTCTTTTTAAATTAAAACGACTGCATTTTTAAGAAAAAACGAAGAGCCGACATGTCTGAACTATATTTAGTTTTCGAGTGACAAAACTGAACACTTAAAAATAATTAGCTCTCTGTTGTAATTCATAGTTTCCTTTCCATTGTCAAAGATGATTGATGATCGTAATGGACCGTATTAAATGTGTTTTATTTTTCAACACATACTTTTTGTAAATAAACATTAATTTTAACGGTGTGTTTTATTTTAATATGCGATGAAATTAAATAATGATACAAAAAATAAGCTGGGAGATTTGTATGATCTGAGCACAATTTACCTATTCAATAACCCGTGCTTGATTTGATTAGTCTTGCCGCGCGTTATGTACAGCCGACTTTATTGTATCGTTTTATTAGCACCTTTTTTCTAAAATGTAATAGAACAGGGATGATAAACCATGGTAAAATGATCGATCTAAAATTAAGATTTTACCATTAATTTGTCTTATATTAATCGTTAAACTTCATTGTTTCAAAATTTCAAAGGATTGCAGAGTACATGCTGAAAGTCATGAAAATTACAATAAATTTAATATTTGAAATTAGTTCAAATGAATAAAATTATAATTATTTTAAATTATTCTTTCTACTCTTTCAATCATTTTTCTCTAATATATTTAATAATTAATACTGAAAATTAACATATAATTCACGCGGTTTAATTTAATCTCCTAGAACTATGAAAAAATTACTAGTAAATTATTTGCTGCAATGAATATTTTTTGGATCAATTCTTTTCGGACCATGACTTTATTCTACAAAGTGGTTTGTCTATAAATTCTGACAATTTCTTACTGAATTCTAAAGTTTTCATTTCCAAATCGATCAATATTAAATTTTTTCCTAGTTTTTCACGCCTGCAATCATGTCGTGACGTTTTTATGTGCATACCGGAACAATGTTGGAATTCTCGACACTTCAATTTATTTTGCATATTGATGTGTTAGTTTTATTGATTTTATTTCATTTCAACTTACAATTTTATTCAAAATAATGTGTGCATCAAATACTTATTATTCAATTCCAAATGCTAATTTATTATAATTTATTTGCCAAGCGTAGAATGTTCATATTCGGATAATTTTTTACCCGCAGAAACAGTTATAAATAGTTTCCTGTTTTAATTCTGATAAGATTGATTTTTTTTTATTTCTCTATTAAAAGATATATTAGTTGTGTCTTGAACAATTAAGAATGACATCATTATATTATATTAACATAAAAATCTGTTGTTGAAAAAACTAGCGAAATTGTACTTGATTAAAAGATTTTTTGCTGAACAGATCAAAGTAGATTAATACAAAAAGACCAAGCCTGTAATTTATATTTAAATTGCCAATAGTGACTTTATTAGTCAATTAACAATTACCAATGCAAACTTCAATAATTGCCATGATTCTTCAGGAGTTAAATTAGGGCTGTATATCACAAATCTGTGACTTTTCGCATCTGCTATCAAATTGAATATTGTGTAGTTTACCAATTAGCATAGACTATTTTCTTTCTGTTGTTTTGCAACTCATATATGATAAAAATGGCATTGTCTCTATCTTCTAACTCTTCATTTACTGTATGTAACCTTTGCACGAGGTGCTTACTAAAACATATTAGCATATTATTACGCATTCATACAGATAAATCTTTGTTTTCTTCTTACAATGTTTTAGTGTTTATAATTTACTTGTAAGAAACATAAATAGAAATAAAAAACTAGTAAAATTAATTGAGAACTTCTTTATATCGATTATGTAATCAATTACTGTAAGCATACATTGAGTATTCAAAGAACATTCAAAGGAATAAAACGGAGTTAAGATGCAAAGTGACGCAATAAATATTAATTGTATGTACAACGAGGTAACAAATTGGCAGTAAAATCAACAAACAATGAAAATTTCAATTGCTGTGGTATAATAGACTAATCGGTACAGGGTTAAACGTGACAGGAATTTGATGAGCAATATTAGAGAAATATTAAGGATTAACGCATTAAGAATATTTTTAGTTTGAATATCTTTAGATACTGGGTGAATTTAGTAAAGTCATACTATATAGTTTGATCAGTACAAAATTAAGGTATTGAATTTCTTAATTTATACCACTCAAAATTATAATTATGCGTGATGTTGATCTTCAGAATTTGTTATGACATTGCCTCATATCATGTTTTATATTTGACTAGTTTATTTAATTATTTTCTTTAAAAAATAAGAAAAAAGTACACATGTCAATATACTAAATAGATTGATGTGTTCCAATTTGTTGTCTATACGACATAATATTTTATTGAATTGTGTATATATATTTAAAATATTTCCACTAAATGACGATATTGCTCCAATATCTCAAGAATTTCGTATCCAATCTAGATAACATTTATTAAATATAACTAAATAACTAGTTTCGACCTTGTTTAAACCAGCTTCTGGAAAAATAATTGCGAACATATATATGTAGCGGTCCATGACTTCTTAACGTCAAGTTGTCTTTCTAATTTTACTTTTCACCTCGGATAGAATAATTATCGAGAAAAGATATTCTTTGTTCCATTTAAAATATATTCTTAAATTATTAATATGCAAAATCTCTATGTAATGTTAAATTAATTTAAGCACATGCTGTTTAGAGAAGAAGTTAATGGTTTGGTGAAAAATAAGTCTGATGCTTTTGGATATTGTCTCAAGTTATCAAGGGCCTTGGGTCACGCCGCTGGTGATGTACTTGAAATGAGTTTGTTTCGTTGTTTTTGTGATATATGGATCACATCAAATTGCACGTGGTTTTAAAAACGATTCCATCGCTGACTTAACTCTGTCTACTATACTCCCCACTGCCATTATCTTCTCCACCTTTGCTACTTACACTGTCGCATTAAGTTAACAATACGATTTCCACTACTCCGCCGTTCCAGCAAAACTCGCCAACTGTAACCATGTTCGGTTTTCAGTTGAATGTGCGCGCTCTGACGGGCAGGTACGAACACCTGCATCGCCGATACTTCGGAAAATTGTAAACATTCGAACAAAATAAACATGACCTCGTAGTAAACATCGAGATCCATTCAAAGTGTGGGTGACATCCTTGCGTAATATCTCGACTCTAACCAAATGTGAAGTGTTGTTCTGCATTGTGATATAATCTGGTGATATCAAGTGATAAGTGTCATCCAGCAAGTCAGTAGTGATAGATTATTTATTTAAAAGAATAACATTAACAAAAAACTTAACACGTTAATATTATGCTTTGCGATTACCATTAAAAATATTTACGTCATATTTATTTGTACTAATGTCGTCATTTCAATATTATATGTACACATTCGAGTATCGATTTGCATAAACTTTATTACCAAGCCTTCTAATGTTACGGGACATAAAGAAACCAAAGAATTTAATTTTAGATGCATAATAATCGCTTGTCCACAATGACAGCTATAACAGTTCAAATTAAGCATGCTTTTAAATCGGTGATTATGCACAAACATTTTTCGTCATAAGTGATAACGACTAGAAACACGCCAAAGATACTGCTTACTATTTACTAGCACTAAATCATAATCTAATCAGCACCTTATCATATTATCAATTACCAACACGGCTTGTGCAATTACTGGATCTGATATATAATTAATGTGACTAACCTGTGATTGAGATAAGCGTTTCTAACGCTGCATCAAGATGTACCGTTTTGTAAAAGAAGGCGGCCCAACAGGCCGTTTGTTTCTACAAGCAAGCCCCATCGGACCTCCGGTGACGACGCCTTTAGGACCCCCTATAACAACCCCGATCGAGGAAGACAGTTTGAGGAAATTGAAGAAGCACGAGATGGCAGACAGAGCGGGCGGTGGTGGCCAGAGGCCTGTTGGAATTTTGAAGAAATCCAGAGCCCAAGGAATGGAGATTCAGCAGCAAGCGACTGATGAAAGAAGGATGTACACGGAAGTTTTGGGAAGGAGTTCGGAGACGACGAAAATTTCAAGGAGGGATCCAAGTGGCGGAAGACGTTTGACAACTTGTGTTGTAAGGAAAGTCACCACCGTGACGCGCGGTGAAGAACGGATAAGAGAACCGGAACAGAGAGCGTTGGCTCAACCAAAACGTATCAAGGTTGGGATATACCATCTAATTGTATATTTACCTGTTACGACTGTGTTTTACTAACTCACGCATAATTCGGTCGTCTATTTTATGCTGTTTCATCATAAACACCTACAATTTACTTAGTTTTCATAACCTTTGGGAGAAAGTGAATTCACCCACGGGTTGCCCATCACTTTTGATTTTAAACTTATAAGTACGTCTAGTATTATGATGTTTCATTCCTTCCGAGTAACCGACATCGTCTTTATCATCATTCAGACCAATCAATTCTGCTGTTCTTCATTTTTAAGAATTATTTTCTGGCTGTATATATTTTACACATTTTAATATATAAGGTGTAATAAATATAATAAGGTGTATAATAATTAAAAATTCACACAAATAAACACAAGCTTGAATACAACGCGCCCACGATACAAAAATAGGCCGACCGAGTAAACACAGATAATTAACATTATTTATTCATCGATTCTCTAGATAAAAAACGGGCCGAATATAGTTCGACAAACCATATGAGTTTGTTAATTAATTATGTGGAGTATATTGGATTTCCTTTATGATAATATTTGAAATAATTATTATTGACGTGAAAACACTTTATTTTTACTACCTGCTATTATATGAATTTTTTTTGCTCTTTATTTAAAATTGCTATTATTTTAAAAATATTACTTTACTTACTTGATATACATAAATAATTAGTTTATGTTTCAATTAGAAATTCTTTTTAACTGTTAATTGGGTCAAAAGAATAACTTTTAATATATTTAAGACTAATCATCATCCCACGATATTTGTTTTTCAATGACTTCTTCCTTTTGAGTCAAATCAGGTCGCTTCATTAGAATTGCATACACTACTTATTTTAATTTTTAATTAACTATTAATTGCTAAAATATTCATAAGTTGTATTTTATGGCTTTTTAGCTATGATTGGTAATAAATAGTTAATATATGTAAATGATAGTGTAGTTTGTAATATATAATTCCTGCTTTAAGATTTCCTATTAGTTGTACTATTTCCTTTATTCTATTCTACTTTAATTTAATTTTTTTATCATAATATATTTTTATGTATAAAACTTCGATTAAATTTATTGCAAGGAATAATATTACCTTTTCTCATAAGAATTCAATAAAATTTTATTTTAAACTTTGTACGATTGACATAGTATACATCGTATAAATTATGATATCGAATACATAAATCAATGATAATATAGAGTATATAGGTATACTATTAATATGCAATCGATTCTTTGTTCTATTTAAAAAAACTTATCGAAATTCAATTTATATTCCTCGTCAGTATCTATGAGTAGAGTTGTACCATGTAATTTATATTTATCCGCTGTTTGCAGTTATCTTTCGGAAGTTAATAAATCTAGCATTTAATTATTATCTTGTTGACTATTCGTGTTTTATAAATTAAAGCTGGAGTATAGAATTTAATCAATAGAGTTTTGATTGGATTTTATCCATTTCAAAGATTTGAAACAGAAAAGGGATAGATTAGGAGAGTAATACCATTAATTTTATATATACATACTTATACTTAGAAGTTACAGAAGTTTTTTTGGCCCAAAAATGCAAAATTCTAATTTTGTATTTCAAGTCATTCTGAATCGTTTCACATCAAAATTGAAACAAATACACTAAAGTGTATATGTATGTATGTAAGCCAGGATTTGAGCTTATGTCTCAAAAGCCTTTGCATCGATTTGAAGTTATTTGGTGAAACTCCATAAGGAATTTAAAATTAATAAAATTTAAATGGATGATAGAGCACAATTTTGTATGCGTGTGAAAACTATTCTTCTTAACTATTAAGTCTTCATAGAAAAATATTAGTCTTAATATTTTTATAATAGATATGTTGCTGTTTTGTGTTATAAATCCGTTACACCATTTAAATAGGTTATTATTACCTTTTTACTACGATTACAAACCTAGTATTGAATTCAAAACAACAATGGAAAATAGAACTACAAAACGACTTTAACGAGTACCATATTCACAACGGGAATAAAATATCGAGCATTCAAAAAAATAAGAAATATTAAAGGTCAGCGATCTGGTTTCTAGTATGATTCTTATTATTTCGTTATTTCTGCTGGCGAATAATTCGTATCTGATAAGATTCTAATTGAGATTTAATGAGTAAACATCAGAACGCGGAGAATTATTGTTGATATGTTTTTGATTGCTCTTGATAGATTGCCCAGGAATTTACTCGTTTTATCTTGTGGAAATTTAATTACCTGTAATCTTTAATTTTCTATTTTGTTTGATTAACTCCTACATAGGTAAATGAATTTTAAAACAATGTTTACAAATATAAAATTATCGATTAATATATTCCAATGACGCAATCTTTTCACACTACGTAAAATAAATATCTCAGCTAAAACGCGCGAGAGCAGTAGCCTCAAAAACATCGTATTGCGATATAAACGAAATCCAATATTTACACTTGTCAGGTTTAACAAATGACACATGCCACTAACATAACTTTCACTGAAGATTTTTCTTTAAATATTTGAGTAAATAAAAGAATATTAACATAATATCAAAGCAACAACTATCGATCTACCAAAAATCTTCAAGTTCGTTCTCTATAAATTTGCTATCCTCATACTTAAGAGTTCTATTTTACATTTTAGCAACAATTCAAATGTCATCAAGTTTAAAGGTTGTCATGGATTCATGAACACAAATTTGACAGTGACCTTGCTGAAAATATTCACAATGATATGAAAAATACTCATTCAACAAATTTTTATTTTATTAGATAAATATTAGAAAAAATTAATAGAAAAAATATTGGTAAAAAATTTAGAATCTACAGCAGCATATGGTCTTACAATTAAGTTAAAAATAAACGATGATAGAAGATAAAAGATACGATTATAAATAATTATCGAGAACATGGTTTTTGTTGAATTAGTAATGAACGCTAATAATCTATAATTATTATTCGAACTTAAAGTATTGATAAATCCGATATAGGCATAGAAATAAATATACTAACAGTTTTATTTTGAGACTAGATAAAAGGTAGTAAGGATTTTAATAATGTTTCAGATGATATTAAAAAATACTTAATGTTTAGTGAAAAATTAATTTAGCAACGAAAATCATTGCTTTATTCAAGATTTTGTGACTAGTAATTATTTATACTCTGGTTGAATATCAAATCGTCATGTCCAAAGTTTCTTAATAAAATGTCCCATATACTGGGTTCAAAACAAAACCGTTATTTTTTATAAAATTAGAATATTCGAAAGGATTTCTTCTGTTGTTTTTCCATAGTGCATTTGTTGACTTAATCTATACATAAAATATAGCATACGTGTAAATTAGTCAAAGTTCTTTTAATAATCATGATCAGTAATGTGTTAAATATATTTCTTTATTTTACCGTTGCATTGATATTTCATGGCAAATTCTCACAAGCCAATAAATCAGATTTTTTAAATAAGACAAGGCGTTTAATAATAATACTAACATTAAAATGTTATCTAATAAGCGTGCTATTTTACTGTTAATAATTTTCTCACACATCAACAATAATTATACTCGATATAGGACTTAATTGTGAAGATAATCTGTTATGATAGGTATCATTTCCTACGAGAAAGTTTTGCCAAAAAATATTTATACAAATTAAGATCTCAGTGAGTCTGAAACAATTAAAATTATACCACGATCTGAATCTCTAATTAGGCAATTTTTGGACTTATGTAAATTACCCACGTGGGTCCAAAGTGGTTTTAATTGCTTGGGACATAAACAATGTTTATTGCGATCATTGTTATTTGTTTAAGAAATAAAGCGGTGTTTTTCACTGAACAAAGAGAGTAGATTTTGTTCGGTGTGTGCGATTACTGTACAAATTTACGAAACGTGGGAACGTCTGTATTCCAATTAGACTATCCGATAATATCAGCCGAGGAGCGGTCGACTGGCGGACTGGAGGACTGGAGGACTGGAGGACCGGCTGATGGGCCACGTTTACGCTATTGTGGATAAATGAGACTGAATTACGCAAAAGTTGCTCGGAAAATGTGATTTATGAGGCTTTTTAAACGAACAAGGTTGCGGGTTCCTCAAAACTCTTTTTGGAACACTCCAGTCAGGACAAACATGTCCAGACATAAAATGGTATTTTCTAAAAATAGTCTGATAATTTACGGGTGACTTCAGGATATTTCCTCATATTCCTATACCCCTTCTGACTATTCGCGAGTAAAACTTCTACATTTTAAAGAAAATTAGAAAATTCTCAGGAAAATTATATACAGACACTTAGCAACTAATATATAGTTTTATTCCTACTACTATTGCGCAACTTTTTCCAAGAGCCTACGTACGTATTATTTCCAATGGATAAATCGAACTATTGAACAGTATTATTTTTCCATTAAGAAGTTAAAACTCTAAGTAAGTAGTTTTAAAGTGCACACTGTGCCTATTAATAGTGAGTAGAAAAAGCTCATTTCTTTCTCGAGTTAAAATAAGAAAACGATTAACAAGGAAAAAAGTTATAATTGAACAGTTCCCATCTAGTAATGTCGACGCAGAAAAGTAAAGGAGTATAATTGTGTTTTTTAAGAAATAAAGTATATGAATGATTTGTTAGTTTAATTCTTGATTAATTTGGTTATAAGACTTGATTAAACCTTATTTAAATTCTAACTGTTTTTGACTTCACAGTTTTTTATTATTCATTGCACCTAAAATCTTTCATTGAAATAGAAATAATAATAAACAATAATTGTAACTTGTAAATCAATGTTCATATGTACCTTATGAACCAAATATGCCAATTGTTGAATCATGATTTCATTGCATTTCAATTTAACACAGTTGCCCCACCCAGGCAAAGTTCCGTACATCACAATAGACATCGGCGAAACATCACAACCGTGACTCTGCTTGCTTTCGATGGGCAATTATTTTTATTTTTATTCTTTAATGGAAAAGAAACGATAGAAAACATACAC